CAAGCCGGTAGGGGCGATTATCGATTTTGGCCCGCGGGCCACAAGTTGGACAGGCCTGTAATAGAAGGTCATTAACGAACCCTTGTCCAAATATAGTTAACAACATACTAAAAACTTCAACCGTCTGGAATTGACAGACGAAATTTGCAATAGGGTAACAATCAACTAACAGCGATGGATGCACACGGGTCGATTGTATCTACGATCATAAACATTCTGATGTATTTGCAATATACATATAATAGAATTAATTTTTGTCAGAAAATGCTTTGCAAGATTCTTCATGAGACAGTATTTCTTGCTTATGATATATATATTCTTCGTCGATCTATCATCCACACCTCAATTACCCCAGCATCAGAGCAACCATACGATATATGCCTATCGTATGATCCTTTGCCTTCATAACAAGCTACACCGCATCCAAAACGGATGTTTTTTATCAAAGTTATAGTCATTTAGAGAAATGTACACCGTTGAACGGTGCCATGCACGAAAGACATGAAACCATAAAGAGGCAGGCGTTTCTATAAATGGCCATAACATCGTTAAAAAACATCTGTTTTGGATGCAATTTGGCTTGTTTCGAAGGCAAAGAAACATTATTTCAACAATACATGCAAAATTCCCAACACTCTTGTCTATGAGGAACATCCGTTTTGAAATATGAACAAAATTTTACAATTTGCAGGCCCTCTTTATAAGGGAGGATTTTACCTCTTGGGAACCGAGTTAAATAAAACGGAACGAAAGGGTCAAAAGGTAGAAGGTTCAAGTTTTAATTTGTCTTTCATTTAGACAAATTCTGACGAATATTAACAAAGTTCTGGAACATTGAATCTCAATAATTTTTCACTAGTGCACAAGTGAGGCTGAACTTTTGAAAAGAACTGCAGTTTTAGTACCTCTTAGCACCTAATTTTTCAAGAAACATACATGGTGTCTCAAAAATGTTTCTCTTCCCAGAAATGAGGGGTTTCTGGGATGATTTGAAACAACTTTTTCCTTAGCGAAAATGTTATCCGAGGCTTTGTTAACGAGATATTAACGAAAAACCCCGACCAATCAGAGCGCGAGTTTGCCAGCCGAGTTCCCGCGCTAGCGGTGGCTACGCACTACGCTTATACTATGAAGTTCCGACCTTAATAGCAAATAAGAAAAACGGTACAAATCGAACTTCTTATCATCTTGCGTTTGTCATGTAAGGTGATGATTGAATGAAACATAAATGTAAGAAATTCATGTATAACGTAAACAGACGAATACACAATTATTTTTTTAAACGGAATCGAAAATAATAGTTATTTGACCAGAGAGACGAAGGAATTTGTAAATTTCCTTCTCAAATAACGTATTAACGAAAAGGTAATGTGATAGTGATCGTAGTTCGATATTGACATAAAAATCCATAGTTCAGTAACGGGCAACAATGATACTGATTACGAATCATTGTCTTTAAGAAGCCCGAAGAAAAATGTAGGCACGGAAACTTGCGGAATTATTGCCGGGAAAAAGTCATATGTAGCTTGCGTTAGATTAAAAAAATAATAATCTACAATAAATGGAATAGAACTCGCCCTTTCGGAAATTCATTTGCAGCTTGCAGACCAGTGTGAGTAGGTCACTGTACCAATTTTGGTCATCGATGACCGAAACGGTTTATGGCAGGGTATCGCCCAGTCCGCAGGTGATCGTAGGTATATCTCACCAGCCGAAGTTAAGGGTTGCAACGTCAAGTGCCTCCGGATTATTCCACCGAATATGTATTCACTTCACTGCACGACCACCAACACTGATCGCCGGACACGATCACTTAAATTATTTTTCATCAAACCTGTTGTTGCTACGTTACGAATATTGCTGTCCCCGAAACGGGCCGATTGTTTTCAATTTATCAGATATTTCACGTAGCCAAACACTTTCACAGCAACAGGCGCATATCCGTTATTCTGTGCGTAACACCAAAGCATTGCGTAATACTCCCGTGAACTAAACATCTCTGTCGCGCGATTGCTAACCGATTGACAGAATTTTTCCGAATGTTCTTCCTCTACCCCCAAGTAGTTTCTCATCGTTACATTGTGAGTTCACTCCCAGCGTGGCAACAAGATTTAGGTAAAAAGAAAGCAGCATCCTAGGAAAACATGAGCTTCGCAGAAGTGCAACGATCGAACCGTCGTGCAGTTTCACTGAAGCTCGGGCTCCGTAAATTTATTGCCAGGATACCCATTGCTTCGAAATAGAAAGCAGAAACTACATTATCCTCGACGAGCAGGAAAAAAAATTTCATGGACGCATGTTGAGTTGACGCTGCTTGGCCTTGTTCGAGCACCTTAGCAGAGGCTGGAGCGAGCGTTTCACTATGGGACGCAGGGAACTTTTATACTTGCAGACTGAATTGCATCCATTTGAGGAATCAACCAGCGCCGCATACCGTAACAGAAATATCTAGAAATCGCAAAATTGCACTATCTGTTTAATTATACGTGTTGAAGTACTCCATCTTACACAAAATACGAGGAAACCAGTCCAGATTATTTCAATGAGGTGAAAAACAATATCTTAATTAATAATTATATTTATAATTGTAATTATATTATTAATTTTTTTATATTTGTGTTAATTACAAATTATACAATAATTGACACTTTGATATTGTTTTTAACCTCATTGAAATAATCTGGACTGGTAGGGGTACGGTAATCGACCGCAATAGAGGAGCGCCTGGTTCTTGTACCATGTAGGGCTGATTTCACCCTTACAACGTGGATAAGAGCAGCTAAAAAGAAATACATAATTGAATATTTTTATGAGAACTGAAATCGCAAAGAGTTGTATAAGAATCGGCGAATGTCAATTGGGGATTTTCCCTTGTGAGTCCACATCTGCTACGAGGTCGAAGCAACTTGGCTCTAAACAACCGAAACGTCCTCTACGGCCTCTGCTAAGGTGCTCGGACAGGGTCCAGCAGCGGCAACTCAACATGTGTTCGTGAAATTTTTTTTCCTGCTCCTCGAGGAAAACGTAGTTTCTGCTTTCTATCTCGAAGCAATGGGTACCCTGGCAGTAAATTAACGGAACCCCCGCTTCAATGAAACTGCACGACGGTTCGTTCGTTGCACTTCTTCAAAGCATGTGTTTTCCTAGAACGCTGCTTTCTTTTCACCTAAATCTTGTTGTCGCGATGGGAGTGAACTCACAATGTAACGATGGGAAACTACATGGGGGTAGAGGAAGCCCTTTCGGAAAAATTCTGTCAGTCGGTTAGCAATCGAGCGACGGAGATATTCCGTTCACGGGAGTATTACGGAATGTTATGGTGGTTCGCACAGAGTAACGGATATGCGCCTGCTGCTGTGCAAGCGTTTGGATACGTGGAACATCTGATAAATTGAAAACAATCGGCCCATATCGGGGCTACCAATTTTCTTAACGTACGAACAACACGTTCGATTAAAAATACATTAAGAGATCGTGTCGGCTGATTAGTGTTAGTGGTCGTGCAGTGAAGTGAACACGTATTCGGTGGAATAACTCGGACGCACTTGACGTTACAATCTTAACTTCAGCTGGTGAGGTATACCTGCGATCACCTGCGGACTGGGCGATACTCTGCCATAAACCGTTTCGGTTATCGATGACCAAAATCGTTACAGTGACCTGTTGACACAGATCTGCAAGCTGCAGATGAATTTCCGGAAGGGTGAGTTCTATTCAATTTATTGTAGATTATTGTTTGTTTAATTTAACGCATGCTACATATGACTTTTTCCCGGCAATAATGCTGCGAGTTTCCGTGCCTACATTTTTCTTCGGGCTTCTTAAAGACAATGATTCGTAATCAGTATCATTGTTGCCCGTTACTGAACTATGGATCTTTATGTCAATATCGAACTACGATCACGATCACATTACCTTTTCGTTAATACGTTATTTGAGAAGGAAATTTACAAATTCCTTTCTGTCTCTTGTCAAATAATTATTATTTTCGATTCTGTTTAAAAAAAATAATTGTGTATTCATCTTTTTACGTTACACATGAATTTCTTACATTTATGTTTCATTCATCCATCACTTTAAATTACAAACGAAAGATAATAAGAAGTTCGGTTTGTAACGTTTTTCTTAATTGCTATTATACGCGGTTTCCTGGGATGAATGCCGACTTGCTTGCTCGAAGTTTCAAGTAAAAGCGTAGTGCGTAGCCACCGCTAACGCGGAATCTCAGCTGACAAACTCGCGCTCTGATTGGTTGGGGTTTTTCGTTAATATCTCGTTAAGAAAGCCTAGGATAACATTTTCGCTAAGGAAAAGGTTGTTTCAAATCATCCCAGAAACCTCTCATTTCCGGGAAGAGAGACATTTTTGAGACACCTTGTATAAAGCAATGTCCAAGGATAAAAATGTATCAAAAGTAAGGAGGTGCTTTACGATGCATAACAGTATTTCAATCTTTTAAACTCGATTTTATAAAAAAAAAACAGTTTTCAAATTGTTATTTTATCATAACTACAGAAAAAAGTGGAGGAAACAAGGTGCCAAATTACTCTGCATACCTTCTTCTATATCTTACATATGTTGTTATGGCCCTTCCTTAACACTAGACTTGTACTAAATCACTTTCTTAATATACGTTTCTTGGCATTTTCTTCGAGCATAAAAATTATTGACTTTCAAGCCTTATTTTTTTGCGAAATACTACTGTTTTCGAGAAACTAAGATAGCAGTTTAGTTTTTTTCATTCTTAGGAACATAGGAACAAAGTGTCATTCATTTTGAACAAATATAAAATTTAGGGTTTTGGCCAGCTTTTCGGGTCAAATACCCCACTGTGCGGTGCTGCGGTCTGTACAAGGAAAGATCTTCCCACCACACCGCCAGCGATAGGACCTCCCTGCGTACGGGCCGCAGCGCCGTGAGTCGGGTAGTAGGGGTACCTCCGGAGTGGGGCACCGACTCCGGGAGCAGAAGTTATGCAGCTCTGCCTTCGAGGCACTCACCTTTCAAAGAGACTGTTATAATAAGTCAGTCCTTGCTCCAAGTCTACAAGTAACGCAGTTACCAAGTTCGTAAAGTCCTGCAGGACTTTATCTGCATCTTGATCAGGTTCCTTAACATAACACATTGTTTGCTGCCTCTTCTCTTCGTACCTAAGTGTAATGGATATTATTAATTTCACGGAAAGATATCAGAAATTCGTGTCAAGGTGTTAATAGATAAAACAATAATGATTGATAAAGTTATAATCGTTTGTGTCACTTTTATATTGTAAAAATTACACATTTATGTGTTTGAATTCACCAACCAGTCGAGTGTTCCCTTTCTTAAGGCAGTTATGATTTCTCCACGAATTTCTTTGTTGAAAGGACAACACGATCGGAAGGCTTTCATGTTTGACAGCAATCCTAGACATCTGTAAGAAGAAAATGTCGATGTTCTTTATGCAGTAAACGTAACGCTGGATTGAAAGTTTCATTTACTGCGCTTAAATCATTACTAACTGAATAAATACGAAAATTTATTGTGCTGTCCCATAAGTGTTTGCTATTTTCACCCAGTTTTCTTTTTATTTTGTGTTTATGAAAACTTAATTTCTATTCTACGATATAATCACCGTCATGATCAATAACATTCAGCTATCTACTCAGCAAGTTTTGAATACCTTGCACCCAGAGAGATCAGGGTTGGGACTGCAAAAAGTCACCAATATACTTTTTGAGCGTGATGTGATTGTGAAACTTCATGCTCAGTAGATGTCGTTTAAGAGCTTGGAACAAATGAAAGTCCGAAGGTGCAATGTCCGGGCTGTACGGTGGATGGGGTACTGTAGTCCACCCTAGCTCCTCGAGCTGCACATGCGTTAACTTTGCGCAGTGAGGTCGAGCGTTATCGCAAAAGAACCTTAACGCCGCGCCGCGTCGTTTTGGCCGTTTTGCTCGCACGGCAACGGCTAGCTTGCGGAGATGGTCCCTGTATCGGTTGGCGTTGATAGTCTGATTAGGTTCCAAGAGTTCCTAGAAGAGCATTCCCTGCAAGTCCCAAAAGACCGACAGCATCAACTTCCAACCGGGTGGATTGGGCTTTGACTGGGCTGGAGGGATTTCGCCTTGAGGAAGTCAAACAGCGTGGCGTGTGTCATTTTCTTAGCGTATCCGTTTTCATCTCCAATGATAATTTCCTTAAGACAGTCCTGTCGGTGCTGGCGGAGCAAAAAACTTTGACAAATGCTAAGTCGAGATGCCAGTATTGCTGGCACTAGCGACCCGGTCATAATCGGTCAACGCGTGAAGCGTCTATCGCGACATCACTTTGTCGTACTGCATCGAATTAAGGTGCCAATCGATGGTTGTACGGAGTTGCCGAAGAGCATTCTCCATATCTTGCGTGCTAGAATCAGGATACAGCTCGAGTTCGCTGCATAGAGCGACTTCGTTGAAGGTAGGTGGCCGGCCAGAGCGGGGTCGGTTTTCACAGCTTATATCGCCCTCATTGAGGCACTTATATCAGAAGCGTACCGTCAACTCATTTCCGTTTCCGTGGAAGAGGTGTTAAGCCGATGCTCATACAACATCGCTTGCAGTTGACGTTACTCCATTTTCGTTCTCTGTTAATCTCCCTGTTACGCCTACTCGAACATTCTGGAAACTTCTCGGGCCTGCTTCGATTTAAAGACGAAACCTTACGGAAAACAACGCACCCGACTAGAACTTATGGAACAGCCCAATATTTAGATTAAATGTAAGCGCACAGTGAAAATGAAAAGTAATTATACATTTAGTCACAGTATTCAGGAAAGCAGCTTACAATTAATATTATAATTTTAGGAAATTTATATTCTTGTTTTTATAAAATTTAGATTTTACACGACTGTTCGCACCTTGTGTGGTTACAAATTTCATTGAAATTATATAATTGCCAATTACACTCAAAAAACGCAACAAACTTCTCTAACAGTTTAATATTTATTCGTAAACGAATAAAATTTCTCGTCAAGTAATTTTCTGTTATACGAAGCGCAGCAAAGTACGTAGAACAAGGGAGAAGTGGACGATTCCTCGTGCAAAAATAAGCTAAAATTGTAGAAAAATTTTTTTTCATGCGAAGCTTTGTTTTCAAGAAAACTTACTTAAGAGTTCCATCGCATATATGTTGTGAGTATGATTGTGTTCAAAATAAGTAGAAACGGAATACGATAGTCAGACTCGTTAGCAAAGTCCTATTTAATTGCCCATGTATGTATTCAGCAGATCTTCCTTTTATTTTTTCGATTTATTTTGACTCCATTTTGCATGACAAATTTCACTGTTCTAGTGAGGAACCTCGGCGCACCCTACATGTATACATATGCAGAATGTCTGTTTTACCTAGGCCCGGTAGAATATCTAGCAAAGGACCGAAGGCATCGAAAAAATATTGCTACAAAAATTGTTTTGTATAAAGAGGGACATTATGTATTCTAAATATATTTTCGTGAGTAGTGTAGTGTGGAAAATTTCACTGTTAAGTTAATTTCTTTAAACGGACTGCTACATGTTTTTTGTCATTAATGTAGTATGATAACGTTTGTTGATACGAATTCAACAACGCGCGATACTAAGCCATTTCGTATTATGGAAGGTTGTAAAGTCACGGAGAACCGAAGAATCATGGTCGACCTATGTCGCATCACTTCGCCTATGTACACCCTACTCTCGACCACTCGATCATTAAAAAAATTCTCTTCCTGTAAATGTATTTTTTTCCAGGAAATATGTACCTAAGAAGGTAATCCAGTTTCGAGATTGATGGTCGATGCAATGGCGGATGAAGTACTCGATGCTGTCGAATCTTCTTCAGAGAGACTTCGAGGAATTCGTTAAAAGAATCAGCGAGACACTGCTCTTCGTCACGGGAAAGCGTGTCCATATGCCATACTTTGTCCAATTCCTAGAAGTTAAGCCGCCGTTCGTACATCTCGCGAGAAAATATTAAATCATTGGTGTCGCGGCGCGGAAGGTGCTGAAGAATTCATAAAAACCTGAAGAAGACGGTGAAGGATCCTTGGATCGCAGGTCGGCTGCCGGGATGTCGCTACCCATCTAACTAGGGCTTGTTGCAGCTCCGTGACATCACCTTGGACAGCGTGCTGGTGGAGAATTGTTAGTGCCGATTGCGGCAATTCGCCCGTGAAGTCTTCCTAAACAGTGTAATTTAGGAACAGAATGAAAGTGAGAAGCGAACTTATCAGCTTCGTTGCGGCACTATCTAATAGTTAACACGTGAACTGTCGAAATATAATAGGAACAGTTACGAATAAGTCATTGTAATCCTACGTTTTACGAAGTTCAAGTTTATTATAGGAAGGATGAATTCATTTTTCAGGTCATTGTGACTCACAAGTGAATATCATTATGGGTTACTTTTTGTTCAGGGTTGGCTGGGCCGCGGCATGACGGCATGCGCGCCGAGAAGCCAGCGTCGAAGTTCGACAAATGTCGTGCCGAATTTGGCAATCGTCGCCGGAGATAAGAAGTTACGTCGCGGGTAATCATAGTACCGATACCTGTGGGTCGCCACGCATAGTTACAACGTCGTCCTTCTCTAGCCACTGCCAGGTCTTTGTCTGGCAGTGTGCGCTCTCTCTCTCCCTTTAAAAGGACCGTTGCTGTGCGATGTGCCTACGTGACCGCTAACACAGTTTTTATACAATTAACTGTCTAATTGCCCGCGACGTGCCTTTGTCTCCGTCTATTCGTATCGAACCTTAGAACGAGACGTACGAGTCAACTAAAGGGTGCTCTCTGAATTATAATACTTTTATTACCGGCGCTCCGGTCATTATAATCGTATTTTATCACTGTGTTTCGGTGCTCCGAAGTCTAGTGTTGGTTACTCGTAACTCAAGTCGTGTTCGAAACGTGCGAATTAGCTAAGGGTGCTCCCTACGTGACACACTATTATATTACCGACGCTCCGGGTATAACAATTCCACCTACTGGTTTTTGGTGCTCCGAATTATTGTGTCCACTCGTTATCGTTTTGTCATATCTATTTATTTGTGTACATTTTTGTGAGCGCAATAAACTGTTTTGTGTGTTACAAATTCAAGAAGGTGCTCCTTCGAACTTCTATTCTCGAGTCTAATCTCGAACACTTTTCGAGACAAGTGGTGGTAAGGTTTTAAAATTGTAGTGCGAAATTGTGCACTCTGGTAGGTGAATTTTCCATTATTTACTTATGGAATAGAGGAATTCGAAGTTATCATTTAAAGTATTATAGAGCATTAGAAATTACTACAGGTTGAAAAATGGATTTCTAAAAAATAATATTCATAATATCTAAAAGTAACATTTAAGAGAAAGGTACATTTCGAACAGGTAACTTCCGAATTATGTGTTCTTTTAAATCATAAGCTTTTAATGGTGATCTCAGGTAAAATATTCTCCGATTGAGTTTACGTAGTGTTTTATTTGCAATTTCCATGTAATAGAATCTTAACTATTATACTTTATGACTACTAGGTTTTCAAATCATGTAAATTTCGGGAAACAAGAAATAAAGAGTTGTATGCCTCCAAATCGATAGATCTCAAAAAATGTCTCAAATCTCCTCATACTCTTTTCACTATCATATGTTTATACGCAACCCCCATTCACGGGGTATTACTCTTCGGTAGTGGTCAATTCATGGAACGTGTATACAGGCTCACAGCACCGAAAGGGTTAACAATGCTTTTGGAAAAATGTTTTGAATCTTTGATTGACAATATTCTTTTGGCTCGTAGAATGTATTGAATTGAATCATTCTTTCCGTTAGAAACATACAAATTTTCCAAGGAATGCTTAAATAACAGTCATAAAGTTATATAACGATAATAATAATGAAAATATTTTAAGCGGATGACAACTCACAACGAAAGAAAAGTATTCAGAATTGAATAATAATTACTACATTTAATAATTATTCTGAGTTACATAGTAATAATCTTGATGAACGAATTTAACCAAAAAATGTTTGTGCGTGTGGGAATAGAATAAGAGATATCGTGGTGAACGGAGAAAAAACGTTACGCGCTACGATCCGAAATTGAGGATAGAAACGAGACGATCAATTAGTGGTACTGTCACCTCGTTTAATTCACGTGGAGCACGTGTTTCGGCACGCGTTCCGGGAAGTGTACAGAAAAAAGCGATCAGACGCGACAAGGTAGTGCGAAGACGAGACAAAGCGGTAAAATATACGGGTGCTTTTCGTCGGGATCCAAAAGCGAATGACGCAGACGACCTCCAACGCATAGGAGGATTGAGAATCTACATATGGCAGTAGATTGTACAACGAGTTCGATTTCTGCAACGAAGCGCCGACGGTGAGTACAGAAATCTCGTGTTGAAGGTACGCACGTTGTACTTGTACCCAATATCGACGTGCTTGTTCGATTTCGGTAACGCTTAACACAGAGAGAAAGAGGGCCGATTGCACCTTCCTTGACGCAAACGCGCTGAAGCTCGAAAACACCAAGCGGTAACGCGACACAGTTTGGTGAGGGACGTGTACGTCTCGACTAAGTCCCACAGATGCCCTACGGTAGCGTTGACAGAAACAGTACAGTGAGCACTCTTACGGATTTCGGCATGAAAACGCGCGTCGAGATCGAGAGATTCGACAGGCCACGCGGCTCAATGATTACGTAGCCACGAGGGACCTTGCCACCAAATGGAAGAAGTTAAGAGTTGTTGAAGAGATACACCTAGAGACGCTAAATCTGCAGGATGTCAACAAGCATCAGGCACCTGCAGTTGGACTTCCGCGACACTGTTCTGAACGAATTCTTTCCATTCGGAGGGATGACTACGAATCTATGCAAGGGCGATAGACGAATCTGTCCACAGATGTACGGGAGCAGTTTCCATGTCCAAGGTTTTTCGAACATGCGGTATTTCACGTGCGAGAAGTACCGTCGCGGATAATTTGAGCCTTGGTATGCTCATGTGTTCGATGGGGGTCGAGATTGGGCGGGATCTGGCTGGGGTTGCTCCCCACCCTTGAAAAGCCGCGGTGTATCTGTCACCGACAGGATATGTGAGACCCCAGGCACCGGCCAGTTGAGTGATAGGCGGCTGGCTTCGGGGAGCCGTAGGGCCCGTCCACTACATCGGTAACCCACCCGGGCCACTTCCTCGTGGTGGCCCCTGGGATTCCTCGGGGCGGAAACCGGAATGAGAGGAGGGATCACCACCCCCACCGGGACTGATTCTCCACGGGATGCTAACGGCCCGGGTGGCGCTCGGGTGCGGACCGGGCATCGTGCCCGAGAGGCCGCTGTGCGCCGTTCGCAAACCGACATACGTGGGGATGTGTGTGCGAGAGAGAGAGGGCCACGGCCGGTTTCAGGGGATATTCCCCGAAACTAATCAAGGGGGGAGTAGTAAACCCCCCGACCAGGGTGGCATGGGATATCAGTACCTGACCTCTGTGCGGAAGGGGCTTGCCGTGGAAGACACATGTTTGTAACGTGGGAGAACCGCTCGCATGTCGCTGACTGGAGCCTAGCTGGGGGTTGAACCCGGGACACCAGGCGTCGGAACGCCGGGGGGGGGGCTGGTCAGCAGCCATGCATAGCATTGATAGTGGGGGCCAATCCACTGCAACGTGTTATATCCTGTTAGGAATATTACCTCTTTTCCTTGCATATTTTTCTCCTATCACTTTCAAACGCGAAGAGCGAGCGAAAATCGTTAAATCAGCGACACGTGGAAGCTACGCGCGTAGTCGAGAATCCTCGAGACGTTGACCGACGGGTCGTTGACCGACGGACCGGACGGATCAGCTATATCGAAACACCGCCACGAAGATTCGAGAATTCCCTGACGTACAATAGCTTGTTGCTACCCCGTATCTTCCACGTTCTTCAATAAAGAAAGGAGGGAAAACATTATAAAGAGGATTGTCCAAACCGGGCAAGCTGGTTAATCTAACGGTTTCGACCCTCGCGTTAGAGGGTGCTTCGTCTACTTTTCTTCACGCGTAGCGGCGAGCTGAGCGACAGCGGTCACTCAGCTGTTCAGTATCGGGTTCCGTGACGTTTCCTATTCAGTGCGACGCGACTTTGCGATTACGCGCGGCCTAATAGGCGAGTTGGATAAGACACCGGACCGCGAGTGCGACGTCCGGGACGGTGACAACGTATCCCGCCGTGTCCGACCCCTGCATCACGGCTCCGAGCGCCAGCAAGTATTCCGCCCCTTCAAGGACCCGAAATCCCGACTGAACCAGCCGCAAGCGTTAATCATTCGTCATCATTGGTATGTTAAGATTTAATTGTATATTTTATTTTATTCATTGTTAGAATATATCTTGTTGTTAGAAACGAGAGTGATTTCCTATCCCTCCCGTTCCATATCCTAATTACGTACATCACCGGTAAGTTTAGACAGGGCGTGCTTTAGCACCTTAAAAGAGCCAGGACCCGAAAATATAATTAAAGTAACGACCGCAACGCGGGACGTAACAATATTATCCAAACGAGATAAATGTCATGGAAAGTAAGTGCGAAGTCCTATTACAAGAATTACTTAATTCGACCTGTGAAAGCATAATTGAAACAATTCCTCAAGAGGAAACCTCGAATGATCTTGTACTGTATTGCAAATAAGGATTTGACGGGAGCTCGGGATATTCTTTATATAAGCAAAAATTTCAAGATGAAGAATTACAAGACAACAGCCTATTCATTACGTCCCTTGTTCCTCTTCGGTTAGTTGAATCGGACAAAAACCATATATTGTGGAAGAACGCTCAGTTATCATCTAAGAGATTTTGCAGGCCAATTCGCATTCAGTGGATACATGAGTCGAGTGAAATTATCAGAAAAGAGGAGGAATATGTGGGACAACAGATCAGAGAGTTACACCCACATACTTTGAAACTGAGAATTGTGAACTTTTCGTTATTTTTAACGATGGTAAACGGGAAGTTGTGCAATGCCTTATCAGGTGTCTCCAGCATGAGGTGCTATATTTGCCATGCAATAATTTCGGAATTCAATAATACGACAGCAATAAATAAAAGAATTGAAAATTCAGAAATGTATAGGTTTGGTCTTTCCGTTTTGCACGCATATATACGCTTTTTTTTAATGGTTTCTGCATATTTCATACAAATTAGAAATAACAATATGGAAAGTCACGTAAGAAAATA